TTGCTGCTGCTGTTCTTGTTCTTCTTGCTGCTGCTGCTCCTATTATCGTTGTTGCTGCTGCTGCTGTTATTGTTGTTGCTGCTGCTGCTGCTGCTGTTTTTGTCGTTTTTTCTGCTGCTGTGTTGCTGCGTTTGAACCCGCAATTCTCTTCTGCCTCTTCCTTCGGTTGCGGCTGCGACAGCAGCAGCAGCAACAGCAGCAGCAGCAGCATCAGCAGCAGCAACAGCAGCAGCAGCAGCTGCTGCTGCATCAGCAGCATCAGCAGCGTCAGCAGCAGCAGCAGCAGCAGCAAGTGTGTATTTGTGTGTATAGGGCTACCTACGTCTTGGCTCGGGGGGAGCACTGCAACCTAGCAGCAGCAAATGCTGCAGCATTCAAGTCAGCTGTTGCTGCTGCTTTTGTGTCTCCGTCCTCGCTGCAGCGGCTGTGGCGGCTGCTGCTGCCAGCAGCAGCAACACGAGCAGCAGCACCACCAGATACCCTGCTGCTTACACCCAAGGATCTATCGAAGATGCAGCAGCAGCAGCAGCAAATCAAACTGCATCAGCAGCAACTGCTGCAGCAAGACAAACAGGTGCGACACCCGTAGAACAGCAGCAGCAGCTGCAGCAGCAACAGCAGCAGCAACAGCAGCAGCAACAGCAGCAGCAGCAGCAACAGCAGCAGCAGCAGCAGTTGCCTTGTCGGTGGTTTTTGCTGCAGGAGGAAGAAGAAGAGCTGCTCGAAGAAGCAGACGCTCAAGACTAAAGAAAAAAATATTTGCTGCTGCTGCTGCTGCTGCTGCTGCTGCTGCTGCTGTTGCTGCTGCTGCTGCTGCAGTTGTTCAGCATAGGCGCAGCAGGAGCTGCAGCATGCCGTTGCAGCAGCAGCTGTTGCTGCTGCTGTTGTGGGTTTGTTTAGGGCTCTCTTCGGCTGCTGCTGCAGGCGTCAGAGCAACAGCAGCAGCAACAGCAACAGGAACAGCAGCAGCAGCAGCACTTCTTCGGTTGTTTATTCTAGGTTTTAGGGTTTAGGGTTTAGGGTTTAGGGTTTGCTGCTATTGGGTTGCTGCTCTTCTTGGTGGCAGCGGAGGTGCTGCTGCTCTTTACACTTTGTCTTTCTATCTGCATATAGCAGCAGCAGCAGCAGCAGCAGCAGCAGCAGCAACAGCGGCAGCAGCAGCAGCAGCAACAGCAGCAGCAGCAGCAGCAGCAGCAGGCATTGTAGCTGTGGTCATATTATATACTTGACGGCTAGCTCCTTAACTACCCTCTAGCTAGCTGGCTAGCTACTGAGTAGCTAGCTAGCTAGCTAGCTAGCTAGCTGGCGGCTAGCTAGCTAGCTAGCTAGTTGCAGCAGCAAACATTTCTCCACAGCAGCAGAAGCAAGAAGAAGACCTAAATTTGCTGCTGCTGCTGCTGCTTGCTGCTGCTGCTGCTTGCTGCTGCTGCTGCTTGCTGCTGCTGCTGCTTGCAGCAGCAGCAGCAGCAGCGCCTCTACCCCTCGGCTGCTGCAGGAGTTCCTGCAGCAANTGCTGCTGCTTGCAGCAGCAGCAGCAGCAGCGCCTCTACCCCTCGGCTGCTGCAGGAGTTCCTGCAGCAACAACCCAAGAGCAGCAGCAGCAGCTCTTAACACCCCCTGCTGCAGCAGCTGCTGCTGCATCAGCTGCTGCTGCAGCAGCTGCTGCTGCAGCGGCTTCTGCTCCAGCAGCAGCAGCAGGCCCCGAGCGGGGTTACGGGCTGCTGTCGATTTGCTGCTGCGATTGGAAGTAATACAAAGTGCGGATGATCTGCTGCTGCTGCTGCTGCTGCTGCTGCTGCTGCTAGGCAGCAGCTCAGGATAGCTAGCTGTATATGGGTGCATAGCTGTATAGTTGAGGTTAGCTAGCTAGGTAGCTGTGTGACGATGGCTAGCTAGCTGAATATAAGGATACCCAGCTAGCTAGCTAGCTAGCTAGCTAGCTAGCTGGGGGTAGTTAGGTAACAGAGGATAGATCGGTGGGGGGAGGCCTGTGGTGCTGCTGCAGCTGCTGGTGGTTCTGCTGCTGCTGCTGCCAGTGCAGCTCGAGCTGCTGCTCCTGCAGCAGCTGCAGCAACAGGAGGCGGCCATAAAGCCAGAGTTCAAATGCTGCTGCTGCTGCTGCAAGCCTCAGCAGCAGAAGCAGCGGACCGCAGCAGCAGCAGCAGAATAGCGCTCCACCTGCACCCCACAGGGAGGCTGAGGCTGGGCCTGCGCCTTGCAGCAGCAGACTAACGACAGCAGCAACAGCAGCAGCAACAGCAGCAGCAGCAACAGCAGCAGCAGCAATTGCAACAAAGAAAGCGCGCCCTGCAGCAGCGATCGCAGCAGCAGCAACAGCAGCAGCAGCAGCAGCAACCAGGAGAACAGAAGCAATACACATAAACCACCGCTTTCAGTACTAAGTCAGCTGCTGCCCCCACGAGAGCTGCTGCAGCAGCAGCAGCAGTAACAGCAGCCAGAACAGCAGCAACTCCAGCAGCAGCAGCAGCCGCTGCTGCTGCTGCGCTAGTGTTCTTAGTTATTGTTTATGTATGAACGCATGCACTGAGTGTTTTGGGGCTTGAAATATATATATAAGCCTGTAAAAAGAAGTATAAATAATTGTTGCCGCTGCTGCTGC